AGAGACAGGAAGGGGCATGGACAGTTTGCGGCAAACTTTGGTGGAGCAATACGAAGACAAAGTGACTTAAACTGTTGGAAATTTGGTTCAATTTAGTGCAAAGAGGGGCACTAAGGTTGACTTCAAGAAGTTAATTTTCCAGAGAAGGAGGTAGGTGGGACAGGATAAAAGACATGGATCGAGAGGCTGACTTTCAGTGAGGCCAACAGTGGAGTGATTTCATGAACCAAAATGTGACACGGGTACAGGGAAAAAAGCTGATTGGTTAGTAGGTTATTGGTGAATATTTTTAAAGTCAGTTTGTGCTTAGATTTCTAGTGTTTTCTCTACTTTCTTAAAAGTAGCAGCTTAAGTACAAAATTGATACTGGTGTTTTTTTATTATAAACAAAATGTCACAGTAAAGTGTAAAGAGTAGGAAACCTAGAATCATTAATTGATAAGTTAAATAAAATATGATAGCGATGGTAGGATGGGTGATGTTTGCTGCTGCAGCATGTGGTAGCAGTTTGATGCCTATATGATTCAGAGCAAACTCATACGCAGTTTGACGAACTTTGGATCTGATTTGAGGAGCTAGAGTCAGAGTTGCAGATATTGCAACACATCAGGAAAGGGGAAGTTACCTGGACACTTTGTTTTGCAGGCTAGTCACACCATTTAGTCTAGATAATTCAAAATTGGTGTACGATCAGGGATAGCAGGGTGTTACTGCAGGTGAGGCAGGTATGCGGGCCTAGGGATAGCAATTTAAGAAAATAATTATTCATTCATCAGATGTGGGTGTTGCTGGGCCAGCATTTATTGCCCATCCCTAGTTGCCTTTCAGAATGCAGTGGTGTGCTGCCTTTTTGAACCACTGCAGTCCACATGCGGTAGGTTGACCCACAATGCCATCATCCAGGATTTTGACCCAATGAAAGTAAAGGAGCAGCAATATTTTTTGAAGTCTGGATGATGAGTGGCTTAGAGGGGAACTTGCATGTATCTGCTGCCCTTATATTTCTAGATGGTAGTGATTGTGGGTTTGGAAGGTGCCTTCCAAGGATCTTTAGTGAATTTCTGCAGTGCATCTTGTAGATGGTACACACTATTGCTTCTGACTGTCGGTGGTGGAGGGAGTGGATGCTTGTAGATGTGGTGCCAGTCAAATGGGCTGCTTTGTCCTGGATGGTGTCAAGTTTTTGGGTGACGTTGGAGCTACATCCATCCAGGCAAATGGGGAGTATTCCATCACACTCCTGACTTGTGCCTTGTAGATGGTGGACAGGCTTTGGGGAGTCAGGAGCTGAGTTACTCACAGCAGTATTCCTAATTTCTGACCTGCTTTTGTAGCCGCTGTATGTATATGGTTAGACCAGTTCAGTTTTTGGTCAATGATAGTCCCGGGGATGTTGATAGTAGGGGATTCTGTGATAGTAATGCCATTGAATGTCAAGAGTGATAGTTAGAGGATTGAGGACTACAATTGTCCCTACAATTGTCCAAAAGTTACGAGTTTTTAAAATTCCTTCATGGGACTCCTCAGTGCTGGAGAAGAACTTGAAGTTGGAGGGGAGGAATCTATTTATAGAATCATGGAGTCATACAGCACAGAAACAGACCCTTCGGTCCAACTTGTCCATGCTGACCGGTTTTCCCAAACTGAACTAGACCCATTTGCCTGTGTTTGGCCTATATTCCTCTAAACCTTCCCTATTCATGTCCAAATGTTTTTTAAATGTTGTAATGTACCCATCTCTATCACTTCCTCTGGCAGCTCATTCCGCATATGTGCACCCTGTATGAAAAATTTGCCTCTTTGGTCCCTTTTAAATCTTTCCATCTACCTTAAAGCTATGCCCTCTATTTTTGGACCCCTGTACACTGGGGAAAAGACCTTAACTATTGACCTTATCTATGCCCCTCATGATTTTATAAACCTCTATAACGTCACCCCTCAGCCTCCAACAATCCACAGGAAAAACATCCTAGTGTATCCAGCCTCTCATTGTCGTCATCCATGTTTGTACCAACGACATTGATATGACTAGACAGGAGGTTCTGCTGAAAGTGTTGAACAGTTAGGAACTAAATTAGACAGCAAGATCTCCAGGCATTAATCTCTGGCCTACTATCTGAGCCAGGCACAAACTGGCAGAGTGTAAATAAAGTCAAGGAGTTAAATGCATGGCTCAAAGTTTGATGTGGGTGGAATGGGCTTCAATTCATGAGGCACTGCCACCAATAGTGGAATTGAAGGGAGCTGTTCCAGTGGGATGGGCTTCACTTGAACCAGTGCTGGGATCAGTGTCCTGATGAATTGAATAACTAGGGCTTTAAACTAATTTAAGAGGTTAAGGGGTTTGTGTGAGGGAAAAGGTAGATATTTTCTAACCAGCCTGTTCAAAGGTGTTACTACACACCCCTAGAGAGGGTGGGGTTGAACCTGGGATCCCTGGCTTAGAGGTATGGTTATTGCCACTTTATAGGCTTACAAAGCAAGAGGCTATGGCAGCATTACAAGGCTGCTATTTGGATAACAACATCCAGAATTGGACAGGAAGGCACAAACACAGAAGAAATAGCAATAAATATTGTCAAAGGGGGAAAGGTAGTAAAAAGGCAAAATTAATGGCTCCTTGCCTGAATGCATGCAGTATTCAAAACTAAAAAATAAATTAATGGATCAAACACATGGTAAATGGGTATATTTAGAGCAGTTATGGAGACAGAGTTCCAAGGAGATCAAAACTGGGATCTAAATATTCAGAGGTGTGTAATTTCCCAAGGACAGTCAGGAAGGAGAAGGTGGTGGGGATGGAACAAGTACAATACTAAGAAACGATCTTGGATTAGATACAGAATCCATATGAATAGAGGTAAGAAATAAAGAGGGTAGAAGACACCAATAAAAGTGGTCTATAGGTCCTCTAACAGTAACTATTCGGTAGGGCTGAGAATAAATCAGGAGATAGTGGGGGCATGTAAATGGACAACCTGGAAATAGCAGAGGAATTGAATAAATACTTTGCATTAGTCTTCACAGTAGAGAATTAATAGCACTCCTGAATTACTAAATAATCCAGGAGCAAAATAAGGAGAGGAAATAAATGCAATAACTATTACTAGAGAAAATGTGTTAGAAAAACAAATAGGGCTAAAGATCAATAAGTCCCTCAGACCTAATGGAATGCTTCCTAGGATATTAAAAGAATTAGGTACAGCAATAATGAATGCACTGCTAGTAATCTTTCAGGAATCCTTAGATTCTGGAAAAGTCCCAGAGGATTGGAAAACTACCGATGTAATAACTTTATTTAACAAGGGAAGGAAACAGGTAACAACAGACCAGTTAACTTAACGTGTTACTGGGAAAATGTTAGCATCTATTATAAAGGTTGTAATAGCAGAGCATTTAGAAATACAACAAATGATCAAGCAGCGTCAGAGCAATTTCATGCCTGAGAAATCTTTTAAAATTGTTTGAGGAAGTAACAAGCAGGATGGATAACGGGGAAGTAGTGGATATAACTTACAATATGTTTGCATTTTTAGAAGGCATCTGATAAGGTACCACACATTAGTCTTCTTAATAAGATAAGAGCCCATGGTGTTGCAGATAGTATATTTGCATGGCTAGAGGATTGGCAACTAATAGAAGATGGAGTGTTTGGATAAGGTGGGCATTTTCAGTATAGCAACTTGTAACGAGTGGAGCGGCACAGGGATCAGTGCTGAGGCCACAATTATTTAACAATATATATTCATTACTTGCATGAGGAAATTAAATGCTTGAGAGCCAAGACTGCAGATGACACAAAAATAGTTAAGTAGTATGAATGGTGAAGTCTAGCAAGGGATAGAGATACATTAAGTATGTGGGCGAAAACTTGGCAGATAGAATATAATGTAGGATTTTGTGAGATTATCCATTTTGGCAGGAAGAATGCAGGAGCTGAGTTTTATTTAAATGGAAAAAGACTGCAGAAGCCACAGCAGAGAGATTTGGGAGTACTGCAAAAATCTCAAAAAAGCTACCATACAATTTTAACAGGTAATAGGGAAGGTAAATGGAATGTTGGCCTTTATTTCAAAGGGACTGGGGTAGGTAAACAGAGAAATTTTACTGAAACGAAAGAAGACACTAGACAGATGGTAACTGGAACAGTTTTGGGGCCCTATCTAAGGAGAGGTATACTGACATTGGAGGTAGTCCACACAAGGTTGACTAGGCTTATCCTGAACATGGAGGTGGGTGGAATTCTCACGGGTGTGAGAATTTTAAATTCAAGGCACTACTGGACCTAGAGGGAATCATAGAATCCCTACAGTGTGAAAACAGGCCATTCAGCCCAACAGGTCCACACCGCCTCTCCGAAGAGCATCCCGCCCTGACTCATTCCCCTAGCCCTGTATGTCCCCATGTCTAACCCAAACATCCCTGGACACTACGGGCAATTTAGTATGGCCAATCCACCAAGCCTGCACATCTTTGGACTGTGGGAGGAAACCAGAGCACCCGGAGGAAACCCACGCTGACACGGGGAGAATGTGCAAACTCCACACAGACAATCACCCGAGTTGGAATCAAACCCGGGTCCATGGCGCTGTGAAGCAGCAGTGCTAATCACTGAGCCACCGTGCTACCCCGGCATATCAGCTTAGAGGTGGTCACCAGAGATGGAGACAGAGAGGTCCAGGAAGGAGAGAGAGGTCCAGGTGAACTTGAGGTTGGGGTAGAAGGTGTTAGTAAAGTCGATGAACTGTTCAAGCTCCTCACGGGAGTACGAGGCAGCGCCGCTACAGTCATCGAAGTAGTGGAGGAAGAGGTGGGGGATAGTGCCGGTGTATGCCACCCATGAAGCACAGGGATAATGAATGAGCCAATTTTGTTATAATTTAGGATACAGTTCAAATTGGATATAACTTAAAAAGGATATTGCTGTAGATTCCAAACATAATTTGCTTCTGGAAATGATAATGGTTTTCTGTTTTCGTTTAAGGTAACATTGCTTTAGGATGTCATCGAATGACAATGATACAGTTCCTCTCACTACTGATCTTCCTCCCTCTCTTCATGAAGATCTGTTCAAGTCAAAGCTTTCCTGGGAAGCTGATATAATAGCAGGAATTTACTTAATAATCACAGGTAAAGCAATGTGAATTGCTTACTTTTATTTTGGAACTTGTTTATGACCACGGCGCCACCAGTCAAAATGCATGCTTGAGTTGCTAATAAGTTAATAGTGTGCACTGAATAATCACACTTATTTAGATGAGGTGTACACATTATTTTCCCTGTCAAAGTTGACTCATATGATTAAACTGCTGGTGCCGTATTGAAGAATAATGGTGACGTAATAGAGTTTGATCTCTAACATTCTGATAGACAGTGCACTGTGGCTCCTATCGTCCCTGCAGAAAAGATGGAGAATATTGAATGAGGTATTAAGATTTTAGACAGAGATCAAAGGTGAAGTGCTGTTTCAGTTGTGTTGTTGTTCCTTTGATGTATCAAGCTGGCTTTTCCTCACTCTAAATTAGATGGTACTTTAGCAGAGATATCACAGAAATGGGTTTTGAGCCTCACCACTGTCTCGCCTCCGGCTGGATTTCTTTCCACGAATTCTAGTCATGCATATAGAAACAGGTATTGGACACATTCTTCTGGCCTAATTGTTTATTTTCTATCCCTTTTACCATCAGCCACTGAGATTGCTTGGTGGACAATATAAGCAGACTGAGGTACTGATGATATACAGACCTGATATAACTGAAAGCAGAGCCTCTCCAAGGGCCTGCCCTCCCTTCAGTTCGCCTTGCAGTATTTACTGTCGTACACTCTGATCTCAGCAAAGCCTTAGACTGAAGCTACTTTCTTATTTGGAACTCTGGGTTTCTGGCAGTTGTGTCTAAGGGATTCATCTTTACAATCCTGGTGATTCTAGGATAATTTTAGAGGGATGAAGACTGTAGTGTAAGATCTAGACTGAGCAATTTAACTGTCATTGTAAGACTTAAGTCAGTTGTAATTACAAACAGTGTTGGGAAGCTAATCTAAAAGAGTCTTTTGGTTCTGCCTGGTTACAAAATTACTCAGAATTTGAGCATGATTTCACAAATTTTATTCAGTTTATCATAATAAACACAAAAGAGTGTTATTTAATAAAGGCAGAGAAAGTATTCCATCCACTTTGGAACACCAGCGCAAACTTCCAGCTGACTGGGCATTTGATCTTACAGTGTATTGTTCACTGAAGTCAATCTTCGTTCTTGCCCTTGCTGCATATCTGGCTGCTCAAAGTTACGATGTATTAGCCCTTGGCAGCCAATACCTCTGTTAATGGTAGTGGCTCAGGAATTCCTGACTTTTGATTGGCTTGTCAATGTACAAACAGCAGATTATTAATCTTGGATTGACCAAGTGGTATGTGTCCAATTTCTGACTGGTTGCTTAAAGGTAATGGCCATCTTAATGATATCACCTGCTGGTATTAACATTCTTTAACATGTCAGCCACTTCGAAAGGGCAATACTATTTTTTACAGGGTCTTTCTTTGTTATCTGGAAAAATAGGAGTCACAGGATTTACAAGAATTCTTGTTCGAAAATATGATTTGGTTGCTAGGAGTCAAGCCTATTTTCTTTCCGTAATTTGAATAAGCTAGGTTCTCTGATAAGAAGTCATTATATAATTAATTAAAGGCAAGTAATATAAGTTAACAAGTTATCATTGCAACATACACTTATAAAATACACTAAATCACAAGAATTACATGCAAAGCCATTTTCAGAACTCAATTTCAAAGTAATTTAACTTCTCAATACATACTTTTCTCTTTAAGGCATTTTGTTAAAAAGCTAAGACAATTTAGGACAGAACTGTGTGTCTTTTTTTGTCACACAACAGGCTTTTGAAGCGATTAAAGCTTTATAAGTATCAAATCATTTCCTAAAACCTAACTTATTTTCAGAGCATTTACTTTGAGAGTTAAATTAAATGGCATCGCATTTTGCCATGTTATTACATAGATTCCAGACCAGGCGGACAGTCTACCTTTAAGACTGTTAGATGTTATTACGATATATGACATTCCAATATAAAGGTACCTGCCTCACCTTTAGAAACCATTATTGTTGTAGCAGCTACAGTAATTATAATAACAATCATAAACACAGAATACAGACTACATAAGTCTGAGATAGCAGAATAACTTTTTCGCTAACATATAGCAAACAATCAAAGCATATCATACCAACAGAGATAGTGGGAACTGCTGATGCTGGAGAATCTAAGATAACAAGGTGTAGAGCTGGATGAACACAGCAGGCCAAGCAGCATCAGAGCAGCAGGAAAGCTGACGTTCCGGGTCTGGACCCTTCTTCAGAAATGGGGGAGGGGAAGAGGATTCTGAAATAAATGGGGAGAGAGGGGGCGGTGGATGGAAGATGGATAAAGGAGAAGATAGGTGGAGAGGAGACAGACAGGTCAAAGAGGCGGGGATGGAGCCAGTAAAGGTGAGTGTAGGTGGGGAGTTAGGGAGGAGATAGGTCAGTCCAGGGAGGACGGACAGGTCAAGGGGGCGAGATGAGGCTGGTAGGTAGGAGATGGGGGTGGGGCTTGAGGTGGGAGGACTGGATAGGAGTCCACATTGATACCATTGGGCTGCAGGGTTCCCAAGCGAAATATGAGGTGCTGTTCCTGCAACCTTCGGATGACATCGTTGTGACACTGGAGGAGGCCCAGGATGGACATGTTGTCCAAGGAGTGGGAGGGGCAGTTGAAATGGTTCATGACTGGGAGGTGCAGTCGTTTGTCGCGAACCAAGCGTAGGTGTTCCACAAAGCGGTCCCCAAGCCTCCGCTTGGTTTCCCGGTGTAGAGGAGGCCACAACGGGAACAGCGGATACAGTATACCACATTAGCAGATGTGCAGGTGAACATCTGTTTGATGTGGAATGTCTTCTTGGGGCCTGGGATGGGGTTGAGGGGGGAGGTGTAGGGTCAGGTGTAGCATTTCCTGCGGTTGCAAGGAAAAGTACCAGGTGTGGTGGGGCTGGAGGGGAGTGTGGAGCGGACAAGGGAGTCACGGAGAGAATGGAATACACTTCTAGGCCTACACCTCCTCTCACCCACCTTCCTGCAAAAATGCCATCCCCTATTCCTAATTCCTTTGCCTCCGCCGCATCTGCTCCCGAGATGAGGCATTCCGGTTTCAGACTTTCCAGATGTCCTCGTTTTTTCAAGGACCGCAACTTCCCCTCCACAGTGGTCGAAAACGCCCTCGACCGTGTCTCTCGCATTTCCCGCAACTCATCCCTCACACCCCCTCCCTGCATTAACAACCAAAACAGAATCCCCCTCGTCCTCACGTACCACCCCACCAACCTCCGAATCCAACGCATCATCCTCCGACACTTCTGCCATCTGCAATCTGACCCCACTACCAAAGACATTTTTCCCTCCCCATCCTTATCTGCCTTCCGGAGGGACCACTCTCACCGGAAGTGCTACACCTGCCCCTAAACCTCACACCTCACCCCTCACCCCCATCCCAGGCCCTAAGAAGACCTTCCACAACAAACAGATGTTCACCTGCACATCTGCTAATGTGGTATACTGTATCTGCTGTTCCCGATGTGGCCTCCTCTACATCGGGGAAACCAAGCGGAGGCTTGGGGACCACTTTGCGGAACACCTACGCTCGGTTCGCAACAAACAACTATACCTCCCAATCGCAAACCATTTCAACTCCCCCTCCCACTCCTTGGACGACATGTCCATCCTGGACTTCCTCCAGTGCCACAATGATGTCACCTCCTTGACCTGTCCATCCTCCCTGGACTGACATATTCCCCCTAACTCCCCACCTACACTCACCTTTACTGGCTCCATCCCCGCCTCTTTGACCTGTCTGTCTCCTCTCCACCTATCTTCTCCTTTATCCATCTTCCATCCGCCGCCCCCTCTCTCCTTATTTATTTCAGAATCCCCTTCCCCTCCCCCATTTCTGAAGAAGGGTCCAGACCCGGAACGTCAGCTTTCCTGCCGCTCTGATGCTGCTCGGCCTGCTGTGTTCATCCTGCTCTACACCTTGTTATACCATACCAACAGTTGTGTTTTCTGCAGAAACCATGTCTTACTTGTTTTGATTTGAGCCATAGATGTTAACAGAGTTCTCCATCAGCAGTATAAAACCATGAACTCATTATCTTACTTTGAGCTGAGACCATGTGGCAAATTTCAATTAACAGCAGAAATGAAACATCAGACAAAAGTTCACATGATGTGAAAGTAAGGTCTAACATTGACCACAAACAGATGTAATATTCGTACCTCACTTGCTTTATCATTACACGCTACTAAACTACAACTAAATGTTCAAATGTCAACTTGATCCTTTGCTACTGTAGGAATATTCTCTGAGCTGCAGACTGAAATGAAAATCCAACTGTAAACCTCCCTAATGCATTGTTCAACCACTACAAATGTAATCCAGCCCAATATCTTCAAATGAATTGACATGATTGACAGAAAAAGTTGTGAAAGATTTATTTCAATTTAACTTATTTTTATTTCTTTCGATTTAACTGCTTAACTATTGCAGTTGACTAACAGAATAGCACCATTTAAGATTGCTTTACTGCTTGCGCATTCACTTAAAGTAATGAAGCAGCAAAATTCTTTTGGGGTGAAACCATGTCAGTGTTCTTTGAATGAGCAGGGACTGGTGATTGCAAAAATTGAGACAGGACAGAGTTACGTAGGTACAGGATATTAGGAGCAGGAGTAAGGTATTCAGCTCCACAAGCCTGCTTCTCTCTTCAATTAACTTATAGATGTCTGGTATCTCAACAATTCTTGTCCTTTAGCTCAGATTCTTTAACATTCAAAAATGAGCCTTAAAAATAGACCTTGTATGCTCAGCCACTTTTGTGGAGTGCAACTTCCAGATTTCCACTGTCCCCTGTATGAAAATTTGCTTTCTGATTTGAGATCTAAATGGCAAGCTCTGATTTTACGTTTTATGTTCCTCTTTCTGGACTCCAATATCAAAGTTACTGGTTTCGCAGTATCTACCTTATTGAATGTGCCAATTGAATCCCACTCGGCCGCAAACTGCTAAAACTAAAACAATATAAAATAAGT